CACGGAGCTAACGAACGGTTGAGCGTAGCGTCGAGTAGACCGCATCCCAAGTATAACGTACGTATTCACGAGGACCTCCTCTATACATCGTCGTGGAAAAAGCAGCGTGTATGAAGCCGCTTGTGCTACCAGGAGTACTAGTAGTGATCGTGTAGTGCGCCGGCTGGACAAGAGAAACGTGGTGTGACAGTGAGAACACAGTAGCGCGTGCGGTGCGTGTCGCGCGATACACGACGGTCACGAACAGGATCCCGTACGAATGTGAGGGTGCGTGTGCGTACATGTGTGTGTGCGTGTAGAGAGGTATACTTTGTCGGTGGTGTGAGAGCAAGCGAGCGAGTGCGTGCGCGCGCGCACAGCGTTCGCGTGCGTATGTGTGCATGTCCTGTATGAGGGAGACAGAGGAGCGTATGTGTGGTGTATGAGTGCGTGTCGTGTAATTTCTTCGTGCATCCTCTTCTTTTCCTTGGTTGGTGGTACCGTTTGTGGTAAACGAGGCCGAAGTGACAGACAGACCGTCCGCGTGTACGATATGTCGGAACACCACCGCGTTGCCGGTGGCTGGGGCACAGCGAGCCCAGGAAGCCGCGAGGATGCCTCCGGTGGTACCGCCTGGTGGCCTTCGGGTTTAAACGCCGTATCTGCCGAACAACAACAGCAACAACAGCAGCAACAGCAACAACAGCAGAATTTACATCAACACCTGATGAATCAACAGCAGCAGCAGTTAACGCAACAACAGCAAGCACAGCAACAGCATCATCAGGATATCGTTAGGAGTACCGCTGCCGCTACCCAGCAGCTTTTCTCCTACAAGATGGCCTCCAGCTTTCAGAATCCAGCCACCACGGGCACACAGTCGAATCCCGTCTCGACGTCTACGCCGGTTGGCTCCTGCATGAGGGGAGGCTATGATTATAGATTAGGAACGGGGCCCGGAACAGGCGGAGGTGTACCTGGTACACCTTCCGCACCACCGCCTGGCGTACAGTGGTGGTACCCAGGTGGAGTTATGGACGCCGGCCAGAACAACCTGCATCAGCAATTGCAGGGCCAACAACAGCAGCACCTCTCGCCCATTACCACACAAACGTCCACGCCCCCCGTTATGTCCCCGGTATGTTGCGACCACGATCGACCCCCTTTATGCTTCCTCTTTTTCTCGTTATTGCCTGCTTTTTAATTTCATACAAGTATATTCTATTGTTTTTTTCACCCTATACATCATTACATTTACATACATTTATATATATATTTTTCGCTTACTTCTATTTGCGCGGGATTCTTTTATGCACTTGGAAGAAAAGCGGCTGAGATACGGTCTTTTAATATTTCTTGACAATCAGTTTCGTATCGCTTTTTAACCGATAGGTTTAACATCTCTCTCATTCTAACTTATTAAATATGTTGCGGTTTCTTTCAAAAAGTTGCACTTCTGTTGCATCTCGTTCTTCAACTACCTTTTTTCTGTTCTTTTTTCGTAGATAAAGCGAGAAATCTATTAGTGGTTTGTTAGTAACTATGCGAAACACTGAAAAGAAAAGTACTTTTTTCTAGTGTTTTACGCTTAGTGATATAGAATAATACTTGTAACAAATACACGAGTTGTACAGTTTCTCTCTTTTGTTTTGAGAAGAACTGACGAAAAGAAGAAAATCGATTTCGACTAGTTGGGCAAGCATCACTATTTCATTCTGTCTGTGAACCGAAGAGAAAGAGTACAGTAAAGAGCATAATTACAGTAATTATGATAACACGTGACTGAACGTCAATTTCTCCTTAGCCGTGTAATATCTTCATAAAGACATGCTTTAATATGCGAGAATAATTCTAAGAATTTTGAACTCTTGTTATTCTGTTTGTCTCGGCTGTAAAAGTTTAAATGGTCGTCATTGTGATGGTTATACTTTGACACGAACGACGTTTTGAATCATTATACCCGTAGCTATGTCGTCGAGCTGTTTATCTCGACGTTATTAAGGGAAAGCACTTAGTAGGAAATAATCAGATGGATTTATACTTCATTTCAAATATCTAACAATTGGATTAGCAAGGGCAATACGTTCGAAAATATTCTTTATTTTTATTTCGTTAATTCTTTATCTTTTATATTCTATTGAAATTGCCGATAAATCGCTATTTTCATTAAGAAAAATTTCATCAGTTGACAAAACATGTCGACGATCGATGATAATCGACTCAAATTAGTCATGAATTTTCGGCTCTATTTGCGTTGAAAAAATCTTAATAACTGATTCTATCGTGCTTGCTTTCGTACTACCGTCTGCGTTTCATCCTGACTCGCGTCTCTTGCCCCACCGACCGTTGTCCGCTATTGATTCCGGGTTTCGTGCGGCCTTCTTCGTACGTACGTTCGTACAGCGGCTCTTGCCGTGCCGGTTCCCTTCTTTTTTTTTCGATTCCTCTGATCGAAGTGTTTTAGGCATTCACGATTGGAAATAGAAATTCCGATTGATCGACGTTCCTTTGATAAGGAATCATTTTGTTCTTAGTTTGCTTTTTTCATTTTAACGCAACAAAATTCTATTTTATAGAATTTTCAAATGTTTCTTCTTTAGACTTTTCTTCATTTATTCATGACTGTATTTTATTGGATTTTTTGTCAGATATTTTAATTACTTGAAATATTTTAACCATATTTGAATACTTTTTCGTAATACCTATTTAAAAATTCCTATTTTTTCAAAGAGTTTCTGGACGATTTGAAGTTTAGTTTTTGATCGTCCTGGTTGAAGCTTTAATCGTCAGTAGATAGAAAAAAATTCTAATTCACAGCGTCATTTCTTTGATACAAAGAGGCGCCACTTTTTAATTGGTTTCGTTGATTAAATATGAAATGAAGAATCTTATTTTTCAGAGATTCTGAGTGATTGAAAACTTTTTTAGTCGTTTCCTTTATTCGTATATTTATTATTAATAAGTAAAAGAAGCTCCGAGCAATCGTATGTCCGATATTGAAAAATATTCGCATTGGAATTGATTTTGTGAATCAAATATAAAATTCATATCTCCGTATTGTTGGTTCGTGTTTTATTCATTTATATTGGAAAAAAGAAATTTAGATTCTTTTCGATAAAAGTTAGGCAATTTTCCGCTTTATTTATAAAATAAAGTGACGAAATTATAGTCATTTTTTCCTCATGGATTTCCTAAAGTTAGTGTCTGTTCGAAGGTTGGTTGAGCACAAAAGAGTAATTCTACTTTTCAATGATGTTAAAAGTATAAAATTCTGTTTCGTGAATACTGTTCTTCATCTTCTATTTTACTGGATTTTATGATTGCAGTTATTCAAGTATATTATTACATTTTCTGTACACAAGTTCGTGTTAAATTTACAGAAAAATATTCAAGAATATTCAGCTTTTCAATTCTTCTAACGATAAATTAAATTCTATTTCAACCCTGTAAAGTTTCAGGATACTTCAAAATTTCAGAAGGATTATGTTTCATATTTTAATATGATCTTTCATATTAAACTCTAACACGTACATAATACATATATAAAATAGATAAATGCATAAATACATAATATGCCATGGATATAAATTATAAATCCCTAAGGAAAAATAAAAGTAATACTAGCAATATTGAATCTGGGTATTCCAATATTTTCGAGAAATTACAAAATCCTTCGAATACTTTTAGTTATTTCTCCACGATATTGGATATACTAGTTCTATAATTGTCTGATTTTTGTCCTAATTTCAGCAAGTTTTAATTCATGTATATGTTCTAGTCTAATTAGAGATGAGCCGCACGTGTTTAATAATACAATTTGATATCTGTACTGCGTATCTTTTAACGGCAAAATTAATTGCCGGTTTATGAATTATTTAACATTTGGCAAGCAAAAAATACACGTTAATCAGACTGTTTCAAATCATAATATCATTTTTTGTGCATATTTTAACAGTAGAGCTACAAGCATAGACTGTACAATGATAAACGTGTGTCAGTACAAATGTTCACATATTGTAAAGTTGTCCTATGATAAGTTCAAATTTAGCGAGATGTCAACAAGTCACTGTTGAATCTCTTACATACGTGATGCACTAGGAATAGGTTTCTTTCGTTGTACTTAATGTAAATATACATGCTACAATATTTCTTCAGAGCACTTAGTTTGAAGCATGAAATGATTATCTTGAAATAATTTCGAAAAGAATATGGTTAAAAATGCTTTTATTCAAAAATATGGTATGAGACACTGTATTATAATAGATATGAAACACATAAACTTATTCATTTGAAATTATTACTTCCACACTAATCTTTATTAATCTAGAATCGCGCGATATTCACAATATGAGTTATTAACACATTACTGATGAAACACATAAAATTATTACATCCCTACAACTTTTTATTGCTCCGGAATCGCAATGTTAGAGAATGTCGGTTAAGAATGTCTGTCTTTAAAAATACCGTGTTTTTTCCCCGAGATTCCAATAAAGAGCATTCAATATCGCGGAGCATTGAAAACGTATTTGGAGCAATATTAAAAGCAGAGCTCGAATGAAAGTTAAGATTAAAGTCTCTGTATCTATCAGATGGAGAGAAAGTCAGAAAGTGGCCCGAAAATTTAAGATTACAGTGATAGAGGTAAATGGAGGAAATAAACTTACGTTCTTTCTCCTTGGATAAAATGTTGAACGTATCGTTATTCAAGAAAACCTTCTTTGCAATTTTCTCTTTGCGAAAAGAAAAGATTGGAACTATTGATTCGATTATGCGTACATTTCATAAAATAATAAACGATATTCGTTCAGAAATATTGCGACTTTTACGTTATAGATTTTACCAAAACAGTAAAAGTTATTTCGAGGGGAATTTAAAAAATGAACATAAAATTTATTTTGTATATAAATATGTGTATGAAATATACAAACATACATTTTTCAAGGGTGTTTAAAACTCCAAAAGATATCTCTATTGCATTTAGGATCTTGGAATTTTTTATAATTTCGTTCCGTTGAATTTTACTTTACAATAAACTTAGGAATTGATCCTCTTAGTTGTTCCGACCGCTTTTCGATATCAGGGAACAAACGATGCTCCGATTTTATCAATAAAATAGTTTGAGCTATGGGATATTTGAAATGCCACCATATTCGGTGATATGTTTGGACATAAATTTGTAACAGTAATCAATTTTCGATGAAACTTTAGGTAGTGATTCAAAATGGTTTATGTATCAAATCTTTATATAATATGTTTCTATTGTACGAATGTGATTACACGCAGGATTTACTGAAACATTATAACTGTAAACGATAGTTGCAAACATCGTAAAACAGTATCATAAATGAGAAACCGGTATTAACAGTAATAAATGATTCCTTAATCTCCAACGAAGATACATTGAAGAACGTTTAAATATGGAAAAATATTTCCATTATTTTTAATGTTTGATTAATTCCTGAGATCGGTTGAGATCTTATATTCCTTGACAACGTGTTTTAGTTATAGCAATATAAAGTTTCGAATAGTGGGTCGAGTGGTTTATATTATTCTTAACTCTGATTTATATTGTAATACTTGTTCCAACCAGTAAAAAGAAACAAGAATTTATATATGTCTGCAACAATTCTTTCGTATTTTTTTCAAACTTGAGAATATTTTTAATAACAGAACAACACAACAGATTGTTTCGAAATTGATCCAGTGTGACGTAGTAGCGTTAGGAGGAATTCAATCTTTATAACATATGGCATAATTTTTGCAGTTCAAAATGATGTACATATAATGAATTCTTATTTTTCAGATATTGCAGATGAAAGTATTGTTACATTTTTAACATTTTGATCGAATTTTGTCAGATTATCTTAAACATAATTACAGAACATTATTTTTTTGCAAAGGAAATGAAATGCAGCAATGAAGAATACATATTGCACGATTATTCATGAAATGCATATTAGTTCGCATATTTTATCATTACAGAAATCTTAGAACATTTGATTGCAATTTTAGAATTTAAAAAAGATTAGAAGTAAATTAAATTTTAGTTTTCTCCATAATCATATCCTTTTGGTGAAATTTTTTCTTCAAGTTATCATATTATCTCTTTATCTTTCGTTTAAATAATTGAACACTTATTTGACATGTTTCCGTTAAAACGTATTAAATAACGTACACAAAGGTACAATAAAAAGTATTTACTTTTTATAAAAAGGTAAATAAAAGTACATACTTGTTAACTGGTTAGATAATTTAAGCGTATTTAAATAAATGAATAGCTTTGGAATTAATTTGTTTTAAGTTGAAAAGACATATCTCAGTAATAAGGTTTTATAATTTAAAGTGGATTCTTATCATTGAGTAAATTATACTTTTTACGAATGTTTAAAGAAAATATTTTTACTTGATCATTTATACTCGATATTTTACGAGATCACCATTTACAAATACACAAAACATAATATTAAAAACTTCGTGCAGAAATTTTTGCAATTTATTATCCCTTAATTTATTAATTATACAGAATTTTATTTTTTGTCGATATAAACTTACAGAAGAGTAGATAACTACATGAAATACATTATTTCTACATCAATATTTTATATCTACATTGACCTTAAAGTTTATAAAAAAAGATAAGGTTTTTTTTGAAACAAAAAGTAATAACCAATAATAGTGAGGTATATGGCATAAATACAAAATTGTTTTTAAGATATCGGAAAAGATGTTAGTAATATACTGATATAAATATCGCTGTAAGCGATATATAAATTTTGTTCATAGATTTAAAATGCAGTACACATAAAAAGAATCCAATCTCCAAAGTTTTCACTGATAAGTTTTAACACGATATAAATTTAAAATATGGCATCAACGAAACTTAAAGTAATATATTAATAATATTAAATTAAATTAGAGTACACTCTTTCAGGAAATCTTCTCTTGAAAATCCAATGAATTGTGTTCAGTATTTCATTTTATTATCTAAATCGTCATCTTTTTTCTTCGGCAGGTATTTGTCAATTAGATAAATAATTGAACTAAATTTTAATATTAAACAAATGGGGGATATCAATTTCTGTTTGATCGTATATGTAAATATTTGTTGGGTACACGTAGTAACATGCAATCTAGAAGTAATTTTAGTTGATGCTGAAAACACGATCTCGTTTAATGAAGTTTGTACATACATCAATGTTCATTACGAACACTAACGATGTTCGCAAAATTTTAACTTTCTCGTACTATGCCGTTCGTTTCGAAAATATATTTCCAAAGTACTTATTTTTTGTTATCACAATGTAAATTATAATTCTCTTTTCCGCATAATAAGCATCGCTAATGAAATTAGTATATTGTGATGTCATGTAGTAAAGTTAAGTACTCTTTATTCATCTTTTTGTTTTATCATTTACCATTCTCATTTTACTGGAAACTGTAAAAGACATACAATATAATATAAGCATGGTCTTTATTACAACAATTCTTCTTTTTGTACTGTTATTCATAGAGAATGCATACAAGTCTGTTCCGCTATATTTTGTGGGTTTCATACTCAGAGAAAGGAAAATAATTTACTCTTCGATAGGTATATTACATTAAATACATTACAAGATATTCCATATAAGTATAATGATCAAATGAATTATGATATTCTCACATTAGATGCATTTTTTGTTTCTATTTTCAAGCACAATGAAATTGTAGTTTAAAATAGATACTGTAACTTTATAATAATAATACGCAGTATGATATTAACAGTAGTATAATATTATACTGTTTAATACCCGATAAATAGTACACGATAATAATTGCTTAGTTGTCGACTAGCCTGTTGCCAATTCATTGCTATCTATAACTGTACGATATTAATAAATTATTTAGAATAATTCAACTTATATTATCACTAGGAAAATTATATTTCATTAATAAACTTGGAACAAAATATTGACTTGCAGAACACTATTTAAATTGTATACAAAATATTGGTGAATGTTATCTTTAACAAGAAGATAACAGTGCTAGGCATCACGCAATAATAATTAATATTTCAAACTTATTTATATATTTATTCAAACATAATATGTATATGTATATTATATATTAGGTATTAGAAATGATATTCATGACAATTATGCTTATTAATACAATGTATTATACAATCATCATATATTATATTATGTCATGAAGGAATTTTGTTTCCTGTACACATAGTGTTTTAAACAGCTAGCTTCTAGAATTATAACATAGCTGCACGCAATACTATTATGCGCCTGGTATTATTTTCGTCTACGAAGCAATGCTTTGCACGCAGGGAGAAAATCTGATTAGAAATAAAAAAAAACTTTATTTTCCAGAATCCCTTTACTAGATTCCGGATTCGTACATTAGAGATAAAAAGGTCATTACCAATATATTGCACGTTATAGTAGTAATGGGTAAAATTAACATGTAGATACGTCTCGATATGGACTAATTATTCGATATCTTTTAACAATTATTCAGACAGATTCTGGCTTTGGATGAGAGTATCGAAGAAGTTTCAAAGCTAATTTGAATAATATTTGCTGGAAAACACATCTTTAGAGGCGGCTTCTGGTCTATTCAAACATTTGGCAATCCAATACAGTATTCATACCTGTATATTATGTTTAGAGTAGAGTTTATCACAATGTGAAACAAAAGAGAATTGTACGCATCACAAAATATGCTGGCTCGAATCTTGTAACTTTGAGCCAATCTACATTACCAATTCGATACGATAATTAATCAATTTCTGCAAGAGAAAGAGAAAAAGAAGAATAGCAATTTTTTTAGTCTGTTCGTTTTGCGTTAAAAATAAAACGCTAGCGAATTCTTCCTTTTTTCAAATATTCGTTAAACGAGAGTTAAGAGGACACTGATAATTGCCACCGTGTTTTTAATAATGATTCTTTTATTGCAGCACCAGATACAGCAGTTACCGCAGCAGAATAATCTCCAGCAAAATAACGCTCAGAGTTTACAACAACGAGACAATATGCCGAGAGGAAAGGATTCGAAGCCAAGAGGACGGATGACCGCATACGCGTTCTTCGTGCAAACATGTCGTCAAGAACATAAAAAGAAACACCCCGAGGAAAAGATTGTCTTTCGAGAATTCTCTAAAAAGTGTGCAATGAGGTGGAAGGTAAGAGACATTAAAATATTTCTAGAACTTCATCTACTTGAGATATAATTAAAATTCTATCGTTTTACATCCAAATTAATAATAATGAAATTATAAAAGCATGTTACACATTTTATAGAATAAAATATATGAGTCTTTCAGAAGTACACGTTAACCAATTCTATAAATTGAAAAGTACAGAAAAGTGACGATGTTACAAACAGTTCTTCAGATTCACCTTAGAATTTACCATTATTTATGTTATTTTTCATCATAATGAACTTATGGAAGTAAGTCATTTGTTCTTTGAGAATTGAATATTAATTAATCGTGTGTTATGAAATTAAGAAATTAATAAAAAATGAAGTTGTTTAGTTTCGTTTCTGAGAGGCTCATGTAAAAAGTTTATCGTTAATAACCAGAACTTACAGATTGTTTTTTGTTTTAAATAATATTCGTTTGATTTAAAGTTTGATAATTTAGAAAACTGAAGTAAATTTATGGTTAAGCAAGATAAAGGGTTTTACAGAAATAAAGGAAAAAAGATCAAAATTCAGACAACAAACTTACCAGAAAGATTTAATCAATGAAAATAGTATGTACATATAAGCAAAAATTATTGTCGTGCACTTATTTATATTTTTAGAATTATTTATCAAAATTTTTCACTGTAGGATAGCATGTGTGTTATAATTAATATGTGTTTAGTTCATTAATTATAATAATATTAACACAAGACTAATAATGCTAATAAATTATAATGTAATAATTATTACAGTTACATTAGTTACAATCTATTATTTTTGCATTATTCTGCATATTGTAAAATGAAGTATAATTTCCGAACTTCACAACACTTACGTCTTTGTGGAAGTTACATTTTCAGAAACTGATTTAATTACCAGATATATATCTAGCAGCATAATTCTACATATTTTATGTAATTCTATAATTGAATAATGTGGCTTATAAAATCGAGATTTTTACATTAATATAAAGAGCATGATATATATTTTGTGATATATAATGAAATAATACACATATAGGAATAAAACATCAGAAGAATATATTTTATATAGACATTTTGCCGACATAAATACACAATAAAGAAACACAAACATATTTAAACAAGATTAATAAGAATGCATAAGATGTAAAAGTATGATATTTGCTAGTGCGCATAATACTAAACTTCGAACGAAAAAAACTCTGATTGGATTTAGAATATATATTTCTAATGAAACTTCTTTACACTGTTTTAAGATATAAGTAACTATAATTAGTTCGTTAAACATGTTTCAGGAAATAATAATAATTCCTAGCGTTGTTCGCCGGAGTAAAAGTGTAACTAATTTAAGTAGTAATTTACAGTTAACTGACCTCATCTGGAAGTTGCTATACGTTGATTTCTTTGAAGATAACTTGTCCGTATCTTTTTATACATAAGGCAAGCTCCCACAGAATCATTTTGAGTGCATAAAGTTTTACAACAAACTGATAATAGTACAAGCTTTAAAAAAGAAATTATTTATGAAGTTACTAAAAAATATCTTAACTAATAAAGGAAAGAGTTCTTGTAGGAAAATATTTTATATAAATATTTTGCAAATAAGTATATGTATTTCTTGTATGAATGAAGAATGTTATAGGTAGTTAGACGTTGATTTCAATGAATGAAATTCTTGTTTGATCGATACACAGTAATGAAATATTTCGATGAAATTATTTCTTTATAATACGAAGTATTGAAATGTTTTAGTGAAGCCATTTTTTTATAATACACCATCGATATTATACTTCTATAATTCTTGATTATATTTGTCTATGTAAACTTCTAGTCAGAAAAGTAGTTTTAAAATGGACAGATCAGGAATATTTCGGATTAACGGTTAATCATATACCTGCTACTACCCGGGATCTTGTCATGAGTTTGATTAGAAACGGGACCGGTTTACAACTCGTTGTTCCTTAGAGTTCGTCCCTTATATTGTATAGTATGCATCATGTCATAAAACTAATAATATGCCAATCACATGGCTGTCCTTTAATTTTTTAAATCGTTTACTTGAATTTTCTCTTATTCGTTAAAAATATTGTAAAATATACTATAAAATTCGCAGTTAAAATCTACTAACAGGTAATAAGGTTGTTAGCCTTTTTGACAAATTTTGGATTAAAATTAATTTTCCCTTGAATTTTGTCTAACACAGGTATAGGTAAATACGGGTCAGAATTATTACTATTAGAATTACTATAAAACACGTAAATGCGAATCGTATCTTCCATTAGGAAATAATTTTGTTTTACCAATTATTTATATTTTGTATAATACTTATAAAACTACTGTGCAAAATGTGTATAATAAAAGTGCGATTAGAAAGCTGCAAGCGAATAAAATGTATCAATTTGAAATTGATTTACATTTTAGAAAATATTTTCACGTAATGTCTGTCACGATTACTTACTGTTTGATAAATATCTATAAAATAACATGTAATATTACTTATCGCAAACTTTTCGGTACGTTAAGAAGTTCAGATATATTTTTCGGTAGAAGAAGTTTTGCAAATGTGAAACAACGTCACTTTGAACAGGTGCTACTCCAACATCTGGTCATCCTACCCCTCGAAAAGGGAGAGACACTTTCTGCACGCTCCTCTTTTAGATTACAGACCAGATGGTCTTTACGATTAAAGACATTGACCTCCCATTATCTTACTAAAATGTTAGCCTCAGCAGCTGTAAAATTTTTAAATGTTCTTCCACGAACTACACGTTTTCAAGTATATTTTTGAGCGCAGAAGGCTGGTTACATATATATATAATTATATTATATACATTTTTGTACCTTCAATTCTTCTATGGATATATAAACATTCATAGTCTACTTATTATTAGGTATTCTCCTACTTAACAATATTTTAATTACTCGCCATATTAGCGTTTTTCCTTTTTAATAAAATATATCATCTTCACGATCCCGATTCTCGTACCTCGTCATAAATGATTATAACAACAAAGACAATAAAAATATATTCAGGTTCTGTCAGTATTTGCAACGTGTAATAATATAATTATTATCTATTACTGTTCATTCTAATTTTTTAGTTACAAGGATTAAATATCTCTGATCTTCCTCAATAATATTAAAAAAATATTAATCCGAATATTAAGTAATTTATATACATTTATATAAATAATATAGATCAGTTGTTAATTTTTATTAATACTTTTCACAATTATTGCACTTTTATATATATGATTCAAATTATGTTTACATTTTATAGCATTGCGTACATATATAAATGTGTAAACCAGTAAATGTATTATAGTTATAATTATTTTATGTAAATTATAAATTTACTGTCACACAAGTATGTTTCTTATAATCATAATATGTACTACATGTTTGTAGACAATGTCAGATAAAGAAAAGAAGCGTTTTCACGAAATGGCTGAAAAAGATAAAAAGAGATACGATGCAGAGATGCAAAATTATACACCACCGAAAGGAGAAAGTAAAGGCAGGGGCAAAAAACGCAAACACATCAAAGACCATAATGCTCCTAAAAGATCGCTGTAAGTAAATGTGATGAAATTACTTAATGTTCATAATGTAATAAAACGCAATTAATATATTCAGATAGTTTTCAATTATTTCTAATTATTATTTGCATTTATATTTATAAAACCATAATTTGTGTATGTATGCGCGTGTAATAATGATATTACGTTTTATTCAATAGATCTGCCTTTTTCTGGTTCTGCAATGATGAACGTGGAAAGGTGAAAATGCTAAATCCTGAGTTTGGTGTAGGTGATATTGCTAAGGAACTTGGTAAAAAGTGGTCAGATGCAGATCCTGAAACCAAATCGAAATATGAGGCTATGGCGGAAAAGGATAAGGCTCGATATGAAAGAGTATGTATAACATAATTATATATGATTCGAACAAATTATTAGGTATTTTTTATTGTATTATTAAATATTAAATATATCTTATATTTAGAATTTAAACTACAGTATGTACGAATATATTGGCAATGTTTGTAATAATTTATGTGAACTTGATATATATTATGTTTTGTTATTTAGGAAATGACTGCGTACAAAAAGAAAATGAAAGATGGTGCACCTGTAGTAGGAGTTCCAGCAAATACTGTAAAAAGTGACAGTGAAGAAGAGTATAAAGAAGATGATGAATAGCGGATGCACGACAAAATTTCATCTATCACCCCGTGTCCTTGATCCTGAAAGCATACCTCACCTACTGTACGTACCATTGATCTTAGCGTGAGCGTACTTACACCACTAGGAAAACAAATAACTAATCACCAGTCCCTGATTATTTACAATAATAATTAAATACCCGCGATTATATTAATTATTTTAAAATTGTATGTATGAGAGGTGCGAAAGAAGATCGTATGAATGACATTTGTATTTTAACATATTGATAGTAACATGTAAAATGGCGTAGGATAGCAGAATGAAAAGATATGGTGACCCTACTTTCTATCAGGTGGAAGGCGCAGGGGCTCAATCATTGTTGACATTATATTCAAACTATGTTGAAAGCTGTTGCAGCTATATAAAACTGGATACGGCGGCTCCATAGTTGGGCGGTATCATTCGAAATAATTTGGTATTTATCAGTTCAGTTCATTCGCTGCCAGTGTAAGAAGACTTATTGTATATCCTTGTACAGAATATTTCTTTAAATCAAATCTGTCGCAGGTGGGGTATGGGGCTGCTTTGTATGAATGTAATTGATTTAAGTACGTGTCGTATAGTTGTAAGTATTAGGATAAGTATATATTTTAATGCAACTTCGATTCTACATCTGCGTCAACATGTGATAGTTTCCACAGACGATGTATTCTAAACCACGAGATTGAGCCTTATAGCTTATAAGTGATCAAAATCGAAACAAGATATTTAATTCACAACTTCGTGAAATCAAAATTGGGCCGGTAACCCAGCCATGGAGCAGTAGTATTGTAAAAAATACTATACGTAAAACATATAAAACACAATTAATTCTTATTCGTAAAAACAAGGCGATTCGATTTATTTTACATAACTGATAAAAATTCGTTTTTATGTTATCTTAGTAATAATTATAATTTCAAATCTTTTATAATCGTATAAAGTAATGAATTTTTGTTCTCATTGAAATTAATGACAGTCGTTGAAGACAAACTAAAGTAGAATTATTCTTTGAGTTTTAGCAAATTGAAGTAGTCCCTGCCCTTACCATCGTCATTCTCCCTCTCATATTCATTTTCCAATAAAACGAATACGTTAAAATCCTTTCAGAATCATGTGATTCCGTTCATTGTTTAAGAAAGTAAGATAAGGCGTGTCTTGTATTGCCTCGAGTCATCTGGTGTACAGCAGGCTGTATTATAATAAATTATTGTGGTTTCTTGTAATATTAACATTCCTAGATCCTAGTGTGTACAGAATTTAATCATTGAGATTAGAGTCAACTGTGTAAGAAGCATACCAAAAAAAGCAGGCTAAGTAATGCAAATATGAATTTCGTGGCCAAGATTGGTATGCAAAATGAATATACAAGAGGCTTCTTTACAGTCAGACTGACTTGCACCTTGATTTGGCTCAGCAGGTAACCACTACTTTTTGACGTAAAAGCTTTTCATCTCCCGTGCACATTATCATGTAATGTGTGATTATATAAGCAAAACCTGTTCTAGAGGGAGCTAGAGGATGAATACTGTAAAATATGAAATTGTAATATTTTAATACTGATTTGCAGATGTGCATAATTTTAACATAGCTGGTTAAAATGAATTGTACTGATACAAAGGTATCCATTTGATGGAGATAATTAATAAAAACAGATATTGAAAATTACGGCAGAATTTTCTGTGTTATTATAGGGGAATTATAACAGTTACAAAAGAATGTTTGTTTTGTATATCTCTTAGGATAAATAAACTTTTAAAAAAATATGTGAATATGTTTCTGGTACTGCTCCGAACCTGTTTCTAAGCATGTATATGTCCGAAATATTGAATTCTCAAAGCAGTACTAGATTTAGAGTACTAACATTTATATATATATATATATATATATATATATATATTTATATAAAAGTAAGTATATATAGTCTCTATTTGTTTATGATATAAAGTATTATTTTTCACGCTGCTTTCTTATAATATGGAACATGTGCATTTTACACGTTTATGCTGGTGCTATTTACATCAGAATTAGAAGTTAACTTAAAATCGGAAGTAATGTGTTAACTTATTTCATGTTATACATATTACATATTTCAACGCAGAAGGATGTTACTGTACTTTTTTATATGTATCTCATAGGTTCAAATAATTTTCTATTATTTTGTATAAGTATTACTATAGATTATAAATGTACCATTGATATAGTATTCCTAATAATAGATGAATAATTGTTACCTATAATATAAATTTTTTCATTCATAATCTACTAGAACAGTTCATTATTTCTTACCTATAATTTATGATTCAATAATGTGCATAAAACATTAATAAATGTAATAAATAATATTTATTTGATTTATAATCTTACTGTAATAAACTAGCGAACGAAATGTTTGCAAGATTTATCATTGCATTTAATTATAATCAAAAGAAATTATGTATACAAAATATTCACTATATAAAAGTTTAGTCCTTGATAATTGTGATATAGTGCATTCTAAATGAATATTTTGCTATTATATTGCAATATATCAATTATTATTACATAAAAATTTTCCAGCTCGTTCTATAATTAGGATTATAACTGGATTTTGTTTTTGCTATAGGTACATGATATTAGTATATTATTAAAAAATAAATAAAATATATAATCAAATACATGCTACAATGCAGTGCAATTATTGGAATTTATATATCGAATTGGAAAAATAACATTAATTCGATAAAGGCAACACATAAAAATGGTTGTATAACAATGTTGTATTAATATTCAAAGTTATAAATGACTTATGAAAACAGAAATTTGTGACATATGTTAGATATAACATTATACTACTCTGACTATAGAGTTCTGTGAAATCTTTCTGAAAATGATATATCTTAAATTTCGCAAATGAAAAGTTTGTATAAATTAACAAAATATTTGTACAGTATTTTATTTTCTGTATAGGTAAGTATTATTAGTAATAAATGAATAAAGATATAAAAATGTTCTATTCTCTTTTATCTGCACAAGTGAACATAAAGAATGGTAAAAAATATAACTTTAATATGTATTACTAAAATATAATAATTGTTGTATTATTAACAAATAAGTTTAGAAGTTAATACTGTTAGATAAAATTGAAGATATATTAATGTTTTGAAAAATATATTTATATGAGCAATATATATTTTTTTAACCCTTTACAATCCGTTGTAGATGTCGTAGCGACATTGTAAGTGGAACTAACAACTTCATTGTCACTGTTGCGGCAACATAAAAGCAATAGTTTATTCCACACATTGACGATGAATAAGAAAGCTTCAAGTAATCTGCGTAGTTTATTTTTACATTTAAATTAAAATATTCTTCATTTTTCCTTAGAAGTTTGTACTGTTACATTTCATCTATAATTGTGCGTTAAAATTATTATAATCTTTTTTTTTTATTTACTCTAAAAATGAAAAAAAATGAATTTTCGGAAAGCGAAGAGGAATTCGAACTTAGGTTTTATAGTGACGATTTGGCTGAAATTAATAGTATAAATGAAAGTAGATATAGTGATACCGAGAGCGATAGTGACAGCAGTGATATAATTAATCGAAGTCGAAAAGCTCGGCCTATTGAATCGGATACCGATGATACCGCAAGCCCCACCACGGAAGAGGATGATTGGATTAGTATTACAGAGGATGGGTACAGGCCTACAAGAATAAATTATTCAATAGGACCAAAATCGACAGGACCACAAATTTCTTCTAATATTTTTGAACCTATTCAGTTTTTTAAACTATTTTTCACAAAACCACTTGTTGATGAAATAATAAAGGAAACAAATAACTATGCAAAATCTGTGTTGAATTCAAAGAATCTAACTAAAGACTCTATATGGCAAACATGGCATGATGTAAATGAAGATGAATTCTGGGCTTTCATTGGAGTCATCCTAAATATGGGTACAATGCCTATTTCTAACATGCAAGAATATTGGTCGACTAAACATAACAGTAGAATCCCTTTTTTTTCTGATATATTTACAAGAGCTCGATTCAATCAAATATTTTGGATGCTTCATTTAAAAACACCTGACTCAGGGAGCAAAAATCTTAAAACACATATACAACAAGCCAGCATTTTTTTAGACTATATAGATTCAAAATTTTCTGAGCACTTTATTCCTGGTCAAAATATTAGTTTACACGAATCAATAGTAACATTTAGAGGGAAAATTTCATTTATTACCTATAACCCTATTAAGCCAACAAAGTGGAGTATAAGAATATATGCGATGGTGGATTCTGAAACTGGTTATATCTATACTACCTTACCTTATTATGGGAGTATTACATCAGGAAATCTTATTCGTCCAGATTTACCAGTTAGCACTAGGATTCCACTGCATTTATATCAAAAGTTGTTAGATAAAATTCCAGAGGCACAGGGTTATCATATGTTTACTGATAGATATTATACCAGTATACCTTTGGCAGAAGAATTAATGAAAGTAAAATGTTATTTGACTGGTACCCTAAAACCTAATAGGAAAGATATTCCGATGTTTATTAAAAAATCAAAGTTTTCAGATAAGAAAATTTTTGTTTATAAAAAAAGAAAAATCATGTTCTTAGCCTGGAAAGACAAGAGAATTATGTCACTCTTGAGTACTTGGAATGATGCTGGAATGATAGATTCAAAAAGAATTCTGCAAGGAGGTAAAGAAGTAAACATTAGAAAGCCTAATGTAGTTGTCAGCTACACAAATTCTATGAGCAGCATAAATCAAACTAATCAATATACATCTACTTATTGTTTTTTGAGAAAGTCTCTTAAGTGGTGGAGAAAAATGTTTTTTTGGGGCATGGAGGTGTGTGTAATTAATTCATATATCATATATAAAATTGTGAAAAAAAAACAAAATGAGAAACCATTAACACATTTGAAATATGTTAAACTATTAATCGACCAACTGATTAATAATTTTCGACAAGAAAGATCTAGAGCTTCTACATCATCTTCTGAAATTAGATTAAACGGGAAACTTCATGAAATGCGTAGAGGCAAAAAAAGAGATTGTATTGTTTGCTCCAACAGACAGAAGAAAGGTGAAAGACATGAAACGAGTGAATACTGCAATACTTGCCCTGATAAACCAAGAATGCACCTTGGGGATTGTTTTTCAAGATATCATAAAATGAAGAAATATAAATAGTAGTTTTTATTTTTTGTATTGTTATATTTTTGATATTATATTTTATTAATAAAGCATAATTATAAAAATACATACATGCTTTTTTTTAGTTGTAAAGCAGTTTTGAAACTTCCGCAGAAACGCAATCGTACCATTGTAAATAATCTCGGAGTAGGTAGTAGCCCATAGTAAAAATAATTGAGTTTCTAGTAGGTCATGTTAAAAATTTTTGCAACACCAATGAAATGAAAAATGTCAATCATTTGTTACTAAAGGATCACAAAGAATTCACTAAGCATTTTAAAATATCGTTCAAACCGGTTTTTGTTTAGATTTGAGACAGAATTTCCAACAACTTCTAAAATAGTCTTAAACACACTTATAAGATTTTATACTACATATCTATTGCAAAACGACATCTTCGTCATTGACGATTGTAAAATCACAATATTGATTTAATTCTTTATACAAAAAATAAAGAAGCATATTTATGTCAACAATATGCTTTGGGTTTGTCCTACGAAGTAACAATAAGTAAGAAAATTATAAATATAATAAAGAATTGTTTAGAATTAAACTTCTTTTATTTATTACCGATTAACGTTTTGTTTGTGTATTTATTTTATATACTTTTTTATGTATATAACTAGAGTCATGTAAAATTTTCCCGGACAAGATGGGATCGCAAATGGAAAATATTTAAGAACTGCTGTCCTATAAACTTTTAAATTAGGAACAGAAATATTAAAAGATTAATAATTGGTTTTAATAAAGTTAAACAATATTATGTAAAGATATATCAATTAGAGATAAAAATGAATACATAAAATTATGAAAAATTTGTGAAATGAGTAAATGAAGTTAATGAAATGAAGCATAAAATTGAGAACAAAAGAAATTGGCTTTTAGTACCATCTATCGACAGAAGTAGTAAACTGCAACATTGACCGGGTTCAGAAATTCATAGTTTCGAAAGATATACATAGTTGTCTTTTTGTTTGCGTTCAGCTTGACGGTTGTACAGAACAGAGAATTTATATTTGAAAATTAAATGTAAAAGACTCAACAGCCGCTGAAAGGTCATCATAGGCCTTACAGTCTGGTTACGTGAATATTTCGAATAAACTGAACCGACGATTTTTCTAAGAACGTTGATTCTCCTGTCAAAAGATATTCTCCTATATCTTCGTTTTGTAAGGTAGGTTCGAATTTTTAATGACGAATCCTTACGAGTATTATGTCCTGATATCTGAAATCTCTCCTGTCATAGTACAACATTTATTATATTGTTTTGTTTCTTCTACCAAAAAACGTACGCAGTGAGAAATTAATATTTATTCCGTTATATACGAAACATGTAAATCGTTAGTACTAAAATATATCATTGTGCAATAAATTTATATGCAATAAATATCATCTTCAAATTATAATTTTAATTTTTCTACAAATCATTTAATATACATCATTTTTATACCAATTATAATTACAACTAGAGAATTATAATTTCTAATCTTTTATTTCATATGTTACTTTTAAGATTTGAAAATTCAATCCATCTAGTTTACATTTTTATTATAACATGTTTATTTTAAAAAT